CCGAAGGCCCCCGCCCCGGTCGGAGGCTCGTGGGGGCCCCGAACCTGCAGGGACTCGGCCGGGCTGGTCCAGGGTGGTTGGCTCCACAGATGGGTCCCGCGGTGCACACGAGCTAGCTGAACGGGTTGGGAGGTGCCCATGTGCAGCCCCAGCTGCTGGGGGGCCCGACCGGGGACGGGGGCGGTGGGCGAGCGCCGACCACCCTGCGGGAATCCCGGGGAGGCGGGAGGAAGAAGGGTGGCGCCTGGCCGGCTGCAGCGGGCGCACTCGGAGGGCGCGGCGCGCGCGCCAGCGGCTCACATCCCGGGCCACGCCCAACTCCTGGCAGCGCTTCCCTGGGGCGCCCGGTGCTAGGCAACGGGCTCGCCTTGCTCCCCGCCTCTTCCGGTTGCGAGCTGCGCGACGGGCGGTGCGTCATCACAGGGAGCCGGAGGTGGCTTTATCCTTCGCCGGCGATCCCGGAAGTGGCGAAGTGGAGCTTTTGCTGCTGGTCTCGAGTGGGGCTTCGCGATGGGCTGCGACGGGGGCACCATCCCCAAGAGACACGAGCTGGTGAAGGGGCCGAAGAAGGTCGAGAAGGTGGGTGGCGCGGCGCGGGGGCGGCGCGGGGGGCGCGGGGGGCGGCCGGGGCCTGCGAGGCCTGGGCCCGGCCGGCCGCTCGCTTGGCTCCCCGCCGCGGTGTTGACGGCTCCTGGCCGCCCCTCACTGACATGGCGTGGGCGACGTGGGACCCTCACCGCCCAGGCCCTCGGCCAGACGTGGAGACCGAGGCCCCGAAGGACAAAGTGGCAGAGCCAGAATTTGAGCCTGGCTGGCATTCTCAACTTTCTTCGGTCCCTTCGCCAGTTCGTGGAGTTTTTGTGGTGTTTTGTTGGCCTCAGCTCACTTTCAGTGTCTTGTGATGGGGCTGAAAGGGAGTAGCTTCCTTTTGAAAAGCTGGGCAAGAAACATGTCAAAATGGGGTAGACAAGAGGAAAGGTAAACACTAGGCATGTTTAGGCAAGCAGAATAGTTTTTATTCACTCCGTCGAGCACAGCAAATAATAGTGCTTTCCGTGAGCTCTGGGCTAGACACTGGGAATACAGAAGAGAGCGCGACCCCTTGTAGAGCTTCCATCTCAAATCCATATTGTGAAGTAATAAGAAATGTCCAGTAGATGTGTGTGCTGGTTTTTAACCCCTGGTTTCTGGACCGGTACTCATAAGTCTCTTGTAATTTCCTGGGTGATAAACGTGTTCTTTGTTCTAATGAAGTGACATTTAGTGGTCATCAGAATCTTAATCAAGCTCATGATTTGAAACTTGGAATTTTTAGTACCCTCCTTGTAATACTTAAGAAGTTCTGTTCTACATGCCCTTCCTAGATTTAGTGTTAAAATACAAATGGTAGTATTTGCAGTTTTTTGGGTTTTGTTTTTGTTTTTTGCTGGTCCTGGGGCTTGAACTCAGCCTGGGTGCTGACCCTGAGCCTCAAGGCTAGCGCTCTACCACTTGAGCCACAGAGCTACTTCCTGCTTTTTTTCTAAGTAGTTTATTGGAGATAAGAGTCTCACAGATTTTCTGCTGCAATCCTCAGATCTCAGTCTCCTGAGTAGATAGGATTATAGGTATGATAGGTATGAGCCACTGACACCCAGCTACTTGTACAGTTTTTAGTAAGTGGTAGTTGCTTTGTATATGTTGCATTTGTTTGACACAGTATTAATTACCCATGATGTTTTTGTTCCCTTTATCTGTCACTCTTGTTTTTCGTTTTGTTTGCTATACTAGGGATGGAACCCAGGCCCTTGTGCATGCCACCCAAGCATCATCACTGAGTTTCATGCTTAGCCAAGTACCCTGTGGCTCACACCTCTAATATTAGCTACTCAGGAGGCTGAAATCTGAGGGTTTCAGTTCAAAGCCAGCTTGGGCAGGATAGTCCATAAGACTCTTTTTTTTTTTTTTGTCGGTCGTGGGGCTTGAACTCTGGGCCTGGGTGCTGTCCCTCAGCTCTTCAGCTCAAGGCGAGCGCTCTACCACTTGAGCTACAGCGCCATGTCCGGTTTTCTGGTGGTTTGTTGGAGATAGGAGTCTCACGGTCTCTCCTGCCCGGGCTGGCTTTGAACCGCGATCCTCAGATCTCAGCCTCCTGAGTAGCTAGGATTACAGGCGTGAGCCACCAGCGCCCGGCAGTCCATAAGACTCTTATCTCTAATTAACCACCAAGGCACTGGAACTGTAGGTGTGGCTTAAGTGGTAAAGTACTAGCTTTGAGCAAGAAAGCTACAGGACAGTGCCCAGGCCCTGAATTCATGCCTCAGTACCAACATCATCATTATCATCATAATCATCAAGGCTTTTTTTGTTTGTTTGTTTGAAGCAGGGTTTGGGTAATCTGCCAAGCCTAGCCTCAAATGTGTGATCCTCCTATTTTAGTCTCCTGAGTGTTGGGATTATAGGTGTATATCACCATGCCCAGCCTCACTATGTTTTATTTAAAAAATAAAAGTGGTGAGCTGGGAAGGTGGCTCAGTGGTAGAGCGCTTGCCTTGCATGCCTGAGGCCCTGGGTTCGATTCCTCAGCACCACATAAGCAAAATGAAAAAAATCCGGAAGTGGCACTATGGCCCAAGTGGTAGAGGGCTAGCCTTAAGCTGAAGAGCTGAAGGACAGCGCCTAGGCCCAGAGTTCAGGCCGCAGGACCGGACCCAAAAAAAATAAATAAAAATAAAAGTGGTTTGATTTAAGTATCAGAATATCAGCATAGTATCAAGCTTATATAGAGAGCTGTATACCATGGAGTTTTCAGTTGTGAAACTTAATTGAAAGATTTTATTTTTGTTTTCTTTTATTAGGTTGATAAAGATGCTGAGTTAGTGGCCCAGTGGAACTATTGCACTCTGAGTCAAGAGATCCTAAGACGACCAATAGTTGCCTGTGAACTTGGCAGGTATAGCTGCTTTATTTTAATCAACATAGGTTTATTAGGTGATCTTGAAGGGAAATTTTAATGTGTACATAGAGGTTTTTTTTATTTGGTCAGTTGTGGGCTTAAACTCTGGGCTGGGCGCTGTCCCTCAGCTCTTCAGCTCAAGGCTAACACTCTACCACTTGAGGCACAGTGCCATTTCCGGTTTTCTGAGTGGTTTATTGGAGATAGGAGTCTCACCGACTTTCCTGCCCGGGCTGGCTTTGAACTGAGATCCTCAGATCTCAGCCTCCTGAGTAGCTAGGATTACAGGCATGAGCCACTGATGCCTGGCTACAAATATGAATTATCCTATGCAAATCTGTTGAGAAAAAGTTTTCATTCTCGATTTCTGGACGTAACTACACTCCCCTAATCAATTTGGTTTATTCAATCTATGATTCAAAACCTCAAGGGCCATGTTCTAACTCTGCTAAATTCGAAATACAAAGCATAAAGGAACCATATGAGGGTCAGTAGAGATTGGTAGGTAGTATGGAAAGAGTATGTCTTGTTTAACAGGGGAGCTGATTTAGCTATTTCTTTTTCTTTCTTGGTAGTACTGTAGCTCTGCCAACTTGAACTATACCCCCCAGCCTTAGCCAGTTTAAAGTCCAATAATGTGTGCCTAGAAGTTCTGAATCTTCTGTTCTTATTTTTGAAAAAAAGTGAAAATATGTACTTTTTTTTTTACATTCAATTTCCCATGTTTTAAAATCCCTTTCTCAGGTTACCTTTTTAATTTTTGTTAAATTTTATTTTATTTTATTTGAGAACATACTGTACAGAGGGGTTACAATTACATGGGCAGGATAATGCATACATTTCTTATCAAGCATTGCAGCCTCCTCCTTTGTTTACCCTTCACCTCCCTTCCCAGCCTCCCCCTTCCCCCCCACCCAATCATTCCCCCCCACACCGACATTGTAAAGCTCGTTTTTGACATGACATTTTATACTTCTCATTGTTGCAACAGGTCCACCTGAATCCTTAAACAACTTGTTTGTCCCCATCTCCTCCACAAGTTATACTGACATCAAATATAGTGAAAGCGGGGGTTACACTGTGGGGGAGGGACATACAAAGCAACAAAGAAATAATCTTATAAATGCATTAGAAACACATGTATGAAAGAAAAACCTTTTTCATTTTTTTAATCTACCCTTTGCCTCTTGATTTAAACCACTTCTTTGTACATGTTCATAAGGGTTGATAGAAGGTCATAGGCACTTTTACTTGTAAAGCAAGACATTTCTTTATCAAATGTAAGTGATTTTGGGTTAACATTTAATTTGTTTTCCTTTGGTTATTGAACATCACTTGTTGCTACATACTTTGATCCTTACTTTTGCAGACTTTATAACAAAGATGCAGTTATTGAGTTTCTGTTGGACAAATCTTCTGAAAAGGCTCTTGGGAAGGCAGCATCTCACATAAAGAGCATTAAGGTAAGATATGTTTCTACAGTGCTCCAAAGAGTCTCCCAGGTTGAACTTATTTCATAAAATTATGTACATTAAGGACTGACTTTAGAATTTGGGATTCTAATCCTATCCAGCCTCTAATAGAGCTGTGAAGTAATAGCTTATGTGAATCTCAAGCCCAGAATACCTACACATGTACTTCTGTATGATTAACCTGTTGTGGTTTTGTGGAAGCTGTGAAATTTCTGAATGTACTTAATCAAGGTTCTGCTTGAGGCCTGGGGATATAGCTCATTAGCAGGTCACTTTCTTATCCTGTTTAAAACATGACATTGGGTTGGATCCCCAACACCATTTAAAAACAAAGAAGAAGAAATTCAGTTACTTGAATTTTTAGTTAAATCTGGGAGGTGCTTTCATAAAATTAAAGAATTTTGCTGGGTGCCAGTGGCTCATGCCTGTCATCCTAGCTACTCAGGAGGCTGAGATATGAGGATCACGACCAGAAGTGGCGCTGTGGCTCAAGAGGTAGAGTGCTTGCCTTGAGCTGAAGAGCTGAGGGACAGCGCCCAGACCCCACAACTGACCCCCCCCAAAAAAAACTTAGAGAATTTTGTAATTATAGCCCTCCATTTCTTGGTGGAGACCAGGCATGCAGTCCTGTTCTCCATTACATACGGAGGCAGAAGGAAAGGGCTCAAGCCCTCTTGGTATCATGTCTTCAGTGCCAGTGACTTCTATTTGCCAGTTCTGGGACACGCATCAAAGAAAAAAATATATAAATTGGAGACATTCATTGAGAGAACAGAATCTTTCAAATCCATAGAAGAAGTTGGGCGGCATCAGGCTGATGAGCCCTCACCTCGGTGACAATGACTCTCCAGAAATCGCAAGGCTGCTTAGTGGGGCCTAACCAGAACCCAATCCTTAGCTCCCAGGAGAGGGCTTTAGGACCTTTCCTTTGCCTTGCTTTCTTTCTCATTCACATGTTAGGCTTTTTGCTTGGATTCTGGGGCTGATTATAGGATATGCTTATTTGAGTACTTTTCAGAAATGTAGCCAGTGATGGTACTATAGAAATTGCCAGACTGATTTTCATTCCTGAAAAAGCCACAAGTGTGAATTCTTTTACCTCAAAACTTCACTAGCTTTTGTATTCATTTAATCAATGCTTAAAACACACAATGGTTTTTTGTGGTCAAACCTGTAATGCACACAACATGCACATTCCTTCCCCTCCAAGAAATGGGAGCAGTGAAGAGAAAGATGCAGGATATAGGCTGATCTGTCTACTGATTGGGCTGATTATCTGATGTCCCCTCCCCTCACTGTGGCGTGGGTATCCCTTCTGAGGTTGAGTGTGGAGTGGACCAACAGAGGAGTGTGCTTCAGTCAAGGGTGTATAACTAGCCAGGCTGCTCTCCTGGGACCTCCAAACAGACTCTTGGAGGAAGGATTGCAGGGTTTTCCTTACAGCCCTAAGTTCTCTTCTTAGCAGAACACCTGAGGAGGTCCTAGTTAGCTTCGCCTGACTCTTAGGAAGTGAGCTGTGAAGTATGGCTTTCCTGCGAGGTGCTTAGCTGCTCTTCTGAGTACGGAAATCGAACAGTGGGTTAAGTAGAAAGAGATGCCTCCAACACTAGCACAGAGCTGCTGAATGAAACACTTTGTGAGGCTGCATTCTTGGAGACCTGTGCGTGCACTTTCCCCCTAAAGGTCTGCCCTAGGTCGTGGCCTTGGGTGAACTAAGTGCATGCTATTAGTGAGTTGCTTCTGTCCCTCATATAACAAACGTGTATGAAAAGGAACTGCCAAGTTATGTGGTCTCTAATATATGATGGTTTGATGTAGGATTTTTACTTTCTGATGGTGTACAAGTGTTGCATTCAGTGGGAATCATACATTGAATTTGGGGTGTGGCTCTTTCCCCAGACCAGGGGTAGTGGGAGGGGGGAGGATGACAGCTGTGAGATCGCCCATGAGTGGCTAGTGGCACCCCCAGTGATCCCCAGTGCCCCTGCTGAGCTGTGCTGCTCTTAATGTGACTGTCTTCAACAGTGCTCATGTCTCTCCGCAGAATGTGACCGAGCTAAAGCTCTCTGATAACCCGGCCTGGGAAGGAGATAAAGGAAATACGAAAGGCGACAAGCACGATGACCTCCAGCGAGCCCGGTTCATCTGCCCCGTGGTGGGCCTGGAGATGAACGGCCGACACAGGTCAGTGTGGCCTCAGCGCCAGTGACCTGGGGTTTCTTTGTGGCATCCTAGGGCTCAGCTCGGCTCACCTCGGGAAAAAGACACACTCAGTCCCCAGTGGCCATCTGTGCTCAGCTGCCTTCATTGTCTGCAGCCCACTGTTCTTGAGAGTAGGAAAACCAAGGCTGAAGAGGAACTTTAGAGGGCTGGGAAGGTGGCTCAGTGGTAGAGTGCTTATCTTGCATGCACGAGGCCCTGGGTTCAATTCCTCAGCACCACATAAGCAGAAAAAGCCAGAAGTGGTGCTGTGGCTCAAGTAGTAGAGCACTAGCCTTGAGCTGAAAGCTGAGGGACAGCCCCCAGATTCAGAGTTCAGGCCCCACAACCAGCAAACAAAAAAAAGAGGAACTTCACAAAGTTGTAGGGTGACACTCAGGAGACCTGAGTCAATTTCACCATCGGCTCCTAGGGTACTGCAAGCAAAGGGCAGGGCTTCCCATGACAACTCCTGTTCCTTGGAAGTACCCAGATTTATTGACTAGCAGGCGACTTTTTGGATGTAGTGAGGCATGCTGTGAGCACCAGCTAAGGTCCCAGCTGATTGTGCTCCTTCTCTGGCATTCTGGTGTATTTGTGTTGTTCAGGTAACAGACCAATGCTGGTAGGTGTGCCAGCCGGTGTGCCCATTGTGCCAGCTTTCACACTCTACCCGAGATGGACTGCCATGCTCAGAAGTGGAAGAGCCTGGAGCTTATGGATTTGAAGAGAAGTAAAATAGAAGGCCAGGGACCCTTCAAGTGCCTGAATTTAAACCATTGAGGGCTCAGTTCTTTGGCAGTTGGGTCAAGCAGGGAACTTGCTTACCTAATATTACCCTGCTTACTGTATTTTATTTCAAGCTATTATACTTTTTTTTTTTTTTGGTGCCAGTACTAGAGCTTGAACTCAGAGCCTCTTGCTCTCACTTGGCTTTTTTGCTCAAGGATAGCTCTTTACAACCTGAGCCACGCATCCACTTCTGGCTTGGTAGTTAGTTGGAGATAAGACTCTCACAGACTTCTCTGCCCTGTCTGACTTCGAACCAAGATCTTCAGATCTCAGCCTCCTGAGCAGCTAGAATTACAGGGGTGAGCCAACAGTGCCTGGCTTCTTTTTATTTTTGTGTACATATTCATGTATGTATTTTAAAGTGAAAGTCACGTAACAAAATCGGCCATTTTAATTCAGTGGTATTTAATACATTCACATTTTAGTGCCGTCACCACCTGTCTTGTCACCCAAAAGAAACTCCCCCCCCACCCCCACCCCCGTCTCCCCCTGCTCCGCCCCGCCCACAGGGCAACCACTTCCCCTCCCCTGGCACTTCTCCCTTGACAGGTGTCAGTTTGCCTTCTCCTCGGTGAATTTGCTTGTCTTACGTATTTCATATATACAGAGTTCATACAATGACTGGCCTTCTACATGGCTGCCCACTTCTTTTTTTTTTTTTTTTGGGTCCGGTTGTGGGGCCTGAACTCTGGGCCTGGGTGCTGTCCCTCAGCTCTTCAGCTCAAGGCTAGCGCTCTACCACTTGAGTCACAGCACCACTTCTGGCTTTTTTCTTTTTGCTTATGTGGTGCTGAGGAATCGAACCCAGGGCCTCAGGCATGCAAGGCAAGCGCTCTACCACTGAGCCACCTTCCCAGCCCCTGCCCACTTCTTTTTTAAGAAAACCTTGGTTCTCCCCACAGGAAGAACTCAGTAGGAAACAAACCCAGCTGCCTGTAGCCTGGTGCTCTGACTGACTCCTCCCCCTTCTGCTACTTAGTCTGCCCCTTTTTCTCTTCCCAGTTATTTTTGAACTCTGCCTGTTTGGCTTCTGTCCTCTTGATTAATAGAGCCTGTGCAATAGATTTTTTTCATTAGTAAATTTAGTAAAATTTATATACTAACGATATGAACATACAGAAATAAATTGCCATGCAATAAAATACATTAGGTCTTTGTTCAAAGAAAAATAGTGTAATAGTAGTAAGCATCCATAAAATGTTCACTGGAAGGAGTCACCCAACATTATTTAGTGAAGCTACTGAGGTGTTAATGAGTTTCCATTAGGACCGTCTGCGTGTGGTGAAAATCTCCGTGGTGGACTTTCTGGGGACTGGGTGGAGTAGAATGTGAATGTGCTTTCTGCTGCCCATCCTCCCTCCAGTGTCCACTCTCAGCAGGTGGACCTGTACTTAAACATGGTTCTTCTAGACAGCCATGGATCCCTTGTTCATATTTTGTAACTACTTTGCTGCTGCCTTGTTTAATTTTTCATGTGTTTTTCCAACCTTGAACACCAATTAGCCTTATTCTTTTCAGAGGCTCTGTGGGTATTCAGAGTTGCTGGACTCATTCCCCACTGGTGAGCACTTGACATGTCTGTGATTCCCTGCTTTCCTTATTAAAAGCAGTGTTGTGCTTCACAACCTAATGAGTACACACTTGTGCATTTGTGCACTTGGAGACCCATTTCTATTGAATAGTTTTTAAAGTGGTTCTTTACTTGGTATTGTTAAATTCCACTCCTAAAATGCAGTGCCATGTGGTACCCACCGCCCACAGAAGTGCCCGTGTCCACAGTTTTCATTAGAGACCTTCAGCTTCCTCACTTACACCTGCGAGGTGAAACAAGCCATGGTTTTCAAATGAATTTCTTTAACATTTGAGGCTAACAATTTTTTTGTAGATTTTGTCTTTTCTAAATGGCATGTTAGTGTCCTATCCCTGCTATCATATTGTTCAGCTTTTTTGTATGTGTGCCAACCTTGGGGCTTGAACTGAGAACTTAGCACTGTCCTTGAACATTTGTGTTCAAAGCTACTATACTACCACTTGAGTCACAGCTCCACTTCCAACTTTTTGGGTGCTTAAGTGGAGATGAGTCTTATGAACTTTCCCTGTCTGGGCTCCCTTCGAACTGCAATCCTCGGGTCTCAGCCTCCTGAGTATTTTGCTTTCATGTGGTTTATAGTTGCTTTTTAAGGCTTTTTCAGAGGGCCGGATGCTCAGATGGTAGGGCACCAGTGTGAGCCAGCAAGCCAAGTGAGTGAGCATAAAGCCCTGAATTCAAGCCCTGGTACCAGCAAAAAAACAAACAAACAAAAAAAAACCTTTAAATACTCATAAAATAAACTAAAAACTGTATAAAACCTAAATATATATGTATATATATATTTGATTTATACACTCGATTTGCTTTTTGTCTTTTTATGTTTGTAATTTCAATGAATATTTTCTTAATTTTTACATGACGTAATTATTAATTTGTTTTTGTGGCACTGGGGTTCCAGTGCCTAGTGTGTGCAAGTTGCATGCCCTAGGCAAATGCCCTGCCCTAGACCCCAATCCCTGATTTTTTAGTCAGTGAAATGCAGCCATTTTTATGTTCATGGCTCTGGCTCCTTGTGTAGCCAAGTGGTGTCAGTGATGTCGGTACTCATGTCTAGTCCACTGTAAAGCCATTCTCTTCATTGGACTCTCCCTCCAGGTTCTGCTTCCTTCGGGGCTGCGGTTGTGTGTTTTCTGAACGCGCCTTGAA